GTTAAGGGTGAAGCCCCTGGTTACTCGCTCCACAAGTCTAACCGCCTGTAACTCCGTATTATGCTTAGACCGAAATCCAAATTGCACGTCAGGAATCACATGGTGATCTGACGTGAAATTCGCTAGGTGACGTAGAATCACCTTTTCAGCCAGCTTAGACGGAGCAGACAGTAGGCTGATGGGACGATAGTCCTAGGCGGAAATATCGAACCCACCTTCTTTGGAATCATTATAACTTACCCAGTCTTCCACGTCGATGGAAAGTACGGGGTCCTTAGCATGGCATTGATAATCGCCACGATATAAGTCAAGAACTTCCGTTAAAGCAGCTTCAGCGCCTTATTAGTGATTCGATCCTCCTCAGGCGCTTTACGCACCTTGAGGTCTTTAATATGACCTTGATGCTTTGCTGGTGTGCAATGCGGGATCTCGGGAGAAGCCGCTGATGTGCTGTGCAACTCTTCAGCTGAAGAATCTTCCGAAAAAGAATCTTCTGAGGAAGAATCACTAATGGCGACGCCGGGATCACTGACGCCGTTGGCCCTGAAATATCTCCTGACGGATCTTACAGTTTGTTGCTCCTCGTCGAGATCATTATCAAGAGCATAGTTGGGAGAGAACTGCATAGCATCAGCGAAAACGTCGACCTTGTCCTCTGTCCTGAAGACTATGCCCCCAGAACCGTGGATGTTCAGGAGTTGTTCTCGCTTTCCGTTTCTGAGCGACTTCGCCACTTTCCAGAGAGGAGTACTTGAGTCAAGCATCCCCGCCAAAAGTCGTTTCATTGCTCATTGCGGAATCCATGGAGAGCATTACTTCATGAACAAGATTCGTCGCTCTGCGAATGTCATCAGGATGATTAGCGTATGGTATGTCATGAAATTGGACGTTTTTAAAAGTCACAAACTCATTCTGGTAGGTGTGCCAGCATAAATAAGTAAGGACCAAGTTTACAGGACAGAATCTGTCATCCGAAAATCAATTTTCCATCTCTGTTAAGGGGTAATTTTTGGTTCCGGGGCAAATGCCAGGGATGTAAAAATTTTGTTGATCAAAATTCGGATTCATCGTCGAAAAATACATGGGCATACCATACTCCAGCATCTAGCATCCGAAATTCAATTTCTACGAGTCCTATGGGTAGTTTTTGGGCTCTGGGGTGAATATTAAACTGTCTTATCTCAAATTCGATTTATCACTCTTCATGGTCATCTGCTGAACTGTGCATAACAAGAAAATATTGAAGATTAAACCGATCGATAATAGCGATGCAGTTGAAAAATTGCAAAATGCAAATTACATGTTTCCAAGAAAAAAACTGCATGTACGAGGGACACTAGAAAAGAAATCTAGCTAGCCATGAAAAAAATAATTGAAACACAATCATGATATGCCAAATAGTTACGATGGCAGTTTTGATGGGGGTGTGAATCCATCGAAGATGATCCCAAAAACAGCAACAAATGATGGATGTCTAAAAAAGTTGAAGTCATAGTTCACGAAGATTCTGGTATAAATTTCTCTATCATTAGTATGACATTGAATATATGGTAAGCCAGTGTAATAACCATCGTGCACGACAATTTGAACATGAGTAAGGTGTCAGCCAAATGGGTTTCACGACTGATGACACCTGGACAAAAATTGGGCGGGTTGGAAATTTCAGAAAGTCATGTGGAAACTGTCACTTGCCAAAATCACGTAAACCTTTTTAAACTATTTATCACTTATCCGTAATTTGAATTTCTCTTCATTGATAATAGAGTGCCCATTCCTAGGCCAAACCCTTTTCAATGATTTTCTTTTGGCAAATTTAATAGTTTATTGATTGTATAATTTCACTCGCATTATATACTAAGTGACATATAAATCCGAACACCCAGTTTAAATGGTTTTATTTTAATAAAATTTGTATAAGTACTTAATGAAGCATAATAAGTAAATGATAAAAATTTCAAAATGATTGCACTGCTTTAAAGCCCTTTGACCTTTAATAATGTGTGGATGCACTCTGATGTGCTACGCATTCTCCAACGCGCCTAGGCATGCTTCTGATCTGGTGGTCAATGTCCTCCTGTGGTATCTCATTCCAGGCAACCACCAACTCCTCTCGAAGTGCTTCTAGAGTCTGAGGAGGACGTTGCAAATTGAGCAATCTCCTACCCATCATATCCCACACGTGCTCAATTGGGGATAAGTCGGGAGATCTTGGTGGCCATGGTAACAATGTGACATCATTATGTTAAGAAGTCTATTGTGACTCTTGCAACATGTGGTCGGGCATTATCTTGTTGGAAAGTTGGATCTGCCAGGGTGTCAAGATAGGGTAAAAGATGGGGTTCTAGAACTTCGTGGATATAACGCTGCGCGTTCATGTTACCTCTGATGAAGGTTAAAGGAAACCATAAGCTATAGCACCCCAAACCATAACTCCAACAGTGTGATGAACATGTCTTTCAACAAAAAACTGTGGATTCCTCCTTTCACCACGTCGCCTTCTAACCCTGGCACGACCATCGTGAATGCCTAAACAAAATCTAGACTCGTCACTAAAGACAATTCCTGATCCCAGAGTGACCGTTGTCTGCACCACTCAAGGCGATTACGTCGGTGTTCTCGAGTTAAAGGGAGGACCCAGTGTGGCCGGTATGAAAACAAGCCAAAACTTCTCATTCGTCGGTAAACACTTCGCTTGCCAATAGGTCTTCCGTGTTCTGCAAACCATGCATTTGCAATGGACCTGGTAGTAGAGAAACGGTCCCTTAAGGCCAATAATCTTAGGCGGCGATCTTCACGGTCTGTTGTTCTACGGCGGCGTCCAGTGCTCCTTGCTCTTTGCGTACGTCCTTCTCGAAGCCATGCCTGACAACACCTAACCACAGTGTCTACACTTCTTTGCACTCTAACTGCAATTGCCCGAAAAGAAAGTCCAGCTTCCCGAAGTCCCACTATACGGCCCCTATCAAACTCACTAAGTTGACGAAATCGTACAGATCTCCGTACTCTAGGCATCGTAACCGATCGTAAAGGATGTCAAGAACCAAAATCCGCCAACGTTGATTCTTTACTGCGGTTGAAATATTCATTTTTAGAGCGTTAGTGAATTAAAAAAAAGCAGTATAAAAACCGGAATGTGCAACTGATAAGGCTGAAAATTTTTTCACTTGTTATTTACAGTAAGATAAATACATTCACCAACTTTTATTAAAATAAAACCATTTAAACTGGGTGTTCATATTTATATGTCACTTAGTATATCTTTCTTTCTCAGCGCTTCAGTATGGTGTTGACGATCAGCAAAAAACTGTGTAGTTTTCATCTGTTAGTTGGTTTAATATAAAACATGATGTGAACAGGGTTTTTTCAAGGGGATGGCTTCCACCAATTTGCAAAACTGCAAAAAGATGCAACCAAGTGAAAAAAAAAGGATGATGATTCTCTTCTGTTTCTATTGACGCTGAGGGTCAAAATCCCATAAAAAAATGGAAGACGTAGCACCCAAACCAAAATGACTAAACTTAAGTTACACCAAAAAAATGGTGCTAGTCCATGAATTGGCGCTTGGAGCCTAATATCCCAGAGTCCGGAAAATGACGAAACGACCCCCGCACCACGACCTCAACGGAAACAGAAAAGCGAATCACGCAGAACACGTAACGTTCTAGAAGAAGGTATCATGAGTGGCCTTGAAGAAGATATGTTTTATAGGAAACCAACTAACGGAGAAAAACTACACAGTTTTTTGCTGATCGTCAACACCATACTGAATCGCTGAGAAAGAAAGATATAATACGAGTGAAATTATACAATCAATAAACTATTAAATTTGAAAAAAGAAAATCATTGAAAAGGGTTTGGCCTAGGAATGGGCACTCTATTATCAATGAAGAGAAATTCAGATTACGGATAAGTGATGAATAATAAAAAAAAGGTTACGTGATTTTGGCACGTGATAAAACATTGACCAACGACTATGATGGGCGACGAGACTTGAATGCATCAGTAGGAGCCTGAGACAGGATGAAAATACAAGCAATCGGACTCCACCCCCAAAAAGACAGGACGCAACCCTCTGTTGGAAAATTGATGTCAACAGTTTCTTGCGACAGCAAGGGCATCCTTCTAATTGAATATATGCCAAAAGGTACAACTAAATTCAGACGTCTTTGCGAACACGTTGAAAAATTCACGTAAAGTAATCAACCAGAAAATACCCGAGAAGTCTTTTTGCTGCATGACAATGTCACCTTGCATGAAGCTGCCAAAATTAGATCAATTACGGAAGAATGACTTGTCTCCGTCTGACTTCATCTGTTTAGATTACTGAAGAAAAATCTTCGATGGCCTAAAAGCAGCCGTCTATGATTTTTTGAGAGTCAAGAGGAAACATTTTTGTATAAGCATGTAAGTTCTCTGGAGGAAAAATGGCGCCATTGCATTGATATTGAGCCCCCCTCGGGGTTATATTGAAAAATAAAATTATCAAAAACATCGTACGTCCTTTGTTTCTTGGCTAGGTATATTTCTTCTCTGGCACTCCTGGGATCATGATTGAGCAATTATGCATGTATAGGACGTCGTGTGGAATTAAGGCTCAATATTCATTAAAATATTCACTTTAATCATAAAAAAGGTAACGTCACCTGTATCGTATTTTTTTTTTATTTGTTGCAGCATTAGCGCAAAACTGCTGCGATGTTGCCCGCTATTCTCACCCTTACAGCGTGCCTCTTCAAAATCAGTATTTCTCTAGGTTATGCAGTTTTGCTGATTAGTTTTTTCATTGCAATATATTTGTGGATATTGCAATCGTCAAGTCTTTATTTTTTGAGAAGCTACTACAACAACTAGTATTAATTAGCGCTTGGAATAAAAAAAAGTCCAGTCAAGTAGATTGACTGTGTATTTCCCACGCATCGGTTGATAAATGATTCGGCACAAGTTAGCCCTTCTGTATATTGAATTCCTGAGGGATTTGGGAGGCGAAATAAAACAACAAATTTATAAATAATGAGAAATTCATTATCAAACAGGTTACATAGTGCTATATGGTTAAAACGGTACATTTAAGACGTAAACGTAAGTCAAATAAGCATGTGAAAAAAAAATGGTTACACAACACTTTCAAAGTATGTTGCATACATGTAACGAAGATCGCAATTCGATGAAGTAGCCAAGACACACCCTAGCAGAATCCTCTGTCTTCGGTTCTCCTCCTTGGCGCCGCTTTGATGATGTCATCCACGCGCAGGATCATCTCGGCAGCTTCGACAGCAGACTGCAGCACTTGCCTCTTCACCACGTATGATTCTGTGACTCCCTGTGCTTGCAGGTCCGCCAGTTCACCCTTGTCCATGTTCAGACCCGTCGTATATTTGCCGGCGTTGTGGGCAGCCTTTAGTTCGCTCACCAGTTGAGCAGAGTCGTAACCAGCGTTGTCTGCTATGATCGTGGGCAACTGGAGGAGAGCTCTAGTGAAGGCTTCCATTGCAATTGCTTCTTTGCCTGGAAGAGAATTATGACCGTTTAAGTAAATCAATTTTTTATACCCAGGCAACCACAATAGCCAGAGCATCGAAGAAGAACCCCCAGCAAGTAATGAGAAAAATCCACAGCGGATGCATGGCAACAGACAAAGATTACTAAGACGGAACAAAAAAGACGCAGAAGGTGATAAAGACGAAGAAAAGACGGAAATACAAAATGACCAATAGACTAAAAGGCGGAGTTCAATTCAAATTCTTTATCACCCTTAACAACATACAGGGTTTGTCCGGAAAGTAATAGGACTGAGTCGATTTAAAAACATTTATTGAGCCAATCGTTACAATTTTTTAAAAACTTTCAAAATAGGCTCCTTCTGCGTCGATGCAGCGCTGCCAGCGCGATTTCCAATTATTGAAGGCGTCACGGAAGGCATTCTCCGGAATAGCCTTGAGAGCCGCTGTGCATGCTGCTTGGATCCCGCCTGTCGTCTCAAAATGCTTGCCTTCATCGGCCTTGTCTAGCGAGGAAACAAAAAAGTCCGGGGGGCACATCTGGGCTGTAGGGCGGCTGCGGAAGCGTTGGGATGCCGGCCTTGGTCAGGTAGCTGTTCACAAGAAAGGCGGTGTGAGCCGGGGCGTTGTCGTGGTGCAACTTCCAGTCGGCTGCGATGTCCTGTCGGACCCGACTGACCCTTCGTTTGAGTCTCCTGAGCACTTCCACGTAAAACTTGACGTTGACGGTTTGTCCAGGAGGAACAAATTCATGGTGGACGATGTCTTTGATATCAAAAAAGACAATGAGCATCGTTTTCACTTTGGATTTCCTCATTCTTCCCTTTTTTGGGCGAGGAGACGCCGTCGTGTGCCACTCGGAAGATTGCCTCTTTGTCTCGGGATCATACTCAAAGATCCACGACACCTGGGTAAGCCTGCTTGATCATATCAAACGTGTCTGTCGCAGATTTGCCGAGTTTCACACATAATTTAATCGCGTACCTCTGCTCTAACGAACGCTGCATTTTCGGCTTGCACCACTCACAGAAACACGTCGCGCGAAAATGCCGGTCCAGACTCTCCAAGTGTTCGGAGACAACTGACCAGCCGCTCATTCGTTAGCTAGGAACGCCCTCTACGGAATCCGCGCACGCTTCAAAGTACAGTCATGGCGGAAGAAAATGAGTCCTATTACTTTCCGGACAAACCCTGTATGTATAACATTCGTCAAATTTACCAAATAATAATACAACACCAAAAGACAGGTAGGGTAGATAATACACAAGGGCAGAAAAGACAGACAGATAAGACGTAAAAACAAAACAAACACTGAAGAGACTGAACAGAGTGAGAAGACTGAAAAGAAAGTCCGCAAAGAAAGATCGCAAAGACGAAAAAGACGAAAAAAACGAAAAAGATGAAAAAAACGAAAAAGAAGAAAATGACGAAAAAGACGAACAAGACGAAAAAGAGGAATAAGACAGAGAAGACCGAAAATTTCCGAAAAGACTGATGAGATTAAAATGACTGAAAAGTACGAATGAAAAGATTGGCAGACATAGACAGAAAACGCAGACAGAAAAAGCAGACAGACACACAAACAGATACGACAGACAGACAGAAAAGGCAGACAGGAATACAGAAAAGGCAGACAGGCATACAGAAAAGGCAGACAGACAGACAGACAGACAGAAAAAGCAGACATGTGCACAAAAAAGCTTGAGCCATAAATTAAGGATAGCTTGAACCACGGCTGAAGGATAGCTTGGATCATGGCTTGAGGATAGCTTGAGCCACAGCTTGAGGATAGTTTGAGCCATAGCTGTCTGTCTGCCATGGCTCAGGCTATGCTCAAGCTATGGATAAAGCTATGGCTAAGACTATGGCTAACGTTATAGCTCAAGCTATGTCTCAGGCAATGCTCAAGCTATGCTAAGGCTATGACTCCAGCTATGTTCAAGCTATGTCTGCCTTTTCGGTATGTCTGCCTGCCTGCCTTTTCTGTCTGATTGTCTGTCAGACTGTATTTTCTGTCGTCTACCTTTTCTATCTGAGCCTTTTCTATCTACCTGTCTGTCTTTTCTATCTGTCTGTTTTTTCTGTGTCTCCGTCTGCCTTTCCTGCCTGTCATTTGTCTTTTTTGTTTTTACTGTCTTTCCTTTTCTTGGATTAACATAGAAAATTCGTGAATGAAGGGTAGCTCTCTGAATGGAAATTTGCATTTGTCGCTGCCACAGTCCGGCTACTCCTAAGAAACGAATAAAAAAAAAATCTCCAACGATTTTCAGATAATCCGAAGAATGTTCTCCACTTTTGTTAGGTCAATGAAAGCAAACGGCAACTGTAAGACATTCCTCGCAGCGACCTCTCTTGGTATCCCTCCTTTTTGCACTGACAATAAATATATACTAAGTGACATATAAATCCGAACACCCAGTTTAAATGGATTTATTTTAATAAAAGTTGCTGAATGTATTTATCTCACTGTAAATAACAAGTGAAAAAATGTTCAGCCTTATCAGTTGGACATTCCGGTTTTTATACTGCTTTTTTTTAATTCACTAACGCTCTAAAAATTAATATTCCAGCCGCAGTAAAGAATCAACGTTGGCAGATTTTGGTTCTTGACATCCTTTACGATCTTTTACGATGCCTAGAGTACCGAGACCTGTACTTCGGGAAGCTGGACTTTCTTTTCGGGCAATTGCAGTTAGAGTGCAAAGAAGTGTAGACACTGTGGTTAGGTGTTGTCAGGCATGGCTTCGAGAAGGCCGTACGCAAAGAGCAAGGGGCACTGCACGCCGCCGTAGAACAACAGACCGTGAAGATCGCCGCCTAAGATTATTGGCCTTAAGGGACCGTTTCTCCACTACCAGGTCCATTGCAAATGAATGGTTTGCAGAACACGGAAGACCTATTGGCATGCGAAGTGTTTACCGACGAATGAGAAGTTTTGGCTTGTTTTCATACCGGCCACACTGGGTCCTCCCTTTAACTCGAGAACACCGACGTAATCGCCTTGAGTGGTGCAGACAACGGTCACTCTGGGATCAGGAATGGAACAGTATTGTCTTTAGTGACGAGTCTCGATTTTGTTTAGGCATGCACGATGGTCGTGCCAGGGTTAGAAGGCGACGTGGTGAAAGGAGGAATCCACAGTTTTTTGTTGAAAGACATGTTCATCACACTGTTGGAGTTATGGTTTGGGGTGCTATAGCTTATGGTTCCAGGTCACCTTTAATCTTCATCAGAGGTAACATGAACGCGCAGCGTTATATCCACGAAGTTCTAGAACCCCATCTTTTACCCTATCTTGACACCCTGGCAGATCCAACTTTCCAACAAGATAATGCCCGACCACATGTTGCAATAGTCACAATAGACTTCTTTCAACATAATGATGTCACATTGTTACCATGGCCACCAAGATCTCCCGACTTATCCCCAATTGAGCACGTGTGGGATATGATGGGTAGGAGATTGCTCAATTTGCAACGTCCTCCTCAGACTCTAGAAGCACTTTGAGAGGAGTTGGTGGTTGCCTGGAATGAGATACCTCAGGAAGACATTGACCACCTGATCAGAAGCATGCCTAGGCGCGTTGGAGAATGCGTAGCACATCAGGGTGCATCCACACATTATTAAAGGTCAAAGCGCTTTAAGCAGTGCAATCATTTTGAAATTTTGATCATTTACTTATTATGCTTCATTAAGTACTTATACAAAATTTTATTAAAATAAAACCATTTAAACTGGGTGTTCGGAATTATGTCACTTAGTATAATATCCCTCACCTGGAGTAGTAGCGGCGGCTTTTGTAACAGCGACCGCCATTGCAGTCTCCGCGCAACCTCCTCCGCAGATGATCCTGCTCTCCTTGACAGTAGCTGTCAACACGCAGAGCGCATCATGCAAGGAGCGCTCCGCCTCGTCGACGATCTGCTGCGTGGCGCCCCTGATTATGATCGTGCACGCTTCACCAAGTAGCACGCCGCTGAAGCGGAGCAGTATGTCTTCGCCAATCATCACCTGGAACAAAGATTTCATAATTAATAGCTGTTTTTGACGAGAAACCCGTCATAACCCAAAATGAGCAACTAATATGATATGTTATACCACGCGTATCCCAGGGAAGATTTTGGATTACATTCTTTAGGGAAAATATTTTAATTATCACTGTCTTTTTTTGAAGATTACAGCATCTAGATTTCTTCTATTTTCTTGCCTGAACTCATTGAATCTGTTTGTAGTGTCTTGCATAATGCTGAAGAATGGATGGTCACTTTGTGGTACTTCGAGGTGAATATTTTCATTCAAGTCAGTGATATTCCTTGGGGGTAATGAAGGAAACTTTGGCTCTAAGATTCTCTATCCCTCTCCATGGGGGGAAAATCTGGTGCCTGCAGTGGCCAAGTAATATCACCAAGGTGGATAACCATTTTAATGAAAATGCAAGAGCTGAAATGATAACTGTTACCAGTGATGAACATTGGCAAATAGTTGGATAAATATGCTTTATTACCAAAATAATAATATTCAGTAATTTTACATTCTGGAATTATGCTTACAGTTTATGGTGCAAGGGCCACCATTGCTCAACTATATAAAATTTAATGTCTTACTTTGATGTTACTGCATAATTACTGTGATTACCAGATTTATCCTCCACAGACTCTTCCTATGAATATAGCTCAAAGGTGAAATTTACATCGAAACTCTGAGGAATATTGTGGGACTGAAAGAAAATGTCATTCGCGAAATAAACGAAATTAAAGTTGCTATATTTCAGCAGTTTATGCAAAACATGATAGGCATTACACAAGTGGTTGCAACAAAATGGAAGAAATCGCGTTCAAAAAACGAGATCCATATTTCTGGAAATTCATTTGCAATAAAAGGAATTGTCCCCAAATTTTTCGCTAAAATGACCACATTTTCTTAGACCATATGAAAATTTGATATAAGCATTTTGAATCTTTTGTAAGAAAGGTACGTCTTCAGATGTCACATCTATGTAAGCTAAAGAAGTATCAAAGAGTCACATAATTTCAGTTTCGCTTTTGGTATTAGACAGTGTTTGTGGATATTAAGGGCTTTTAAGCTTTTAGCCTGACATATGATGTTTTTAGTAGTTGTTTAATATGCACTGTGAACTTATCATCCAGGTAGCATCCAAGATTTTTATGGCTTTTTTTGCAATTAGATTAATGTTGATCACAAATTTTTTTCATTATTGATTGCGTCACTTCTCTTCAAAATGTTACTAACTCTGTTGGTGCTAGTAATTTTTGGCACATATTTGTTGCTTACCTGTTCAATAAGGTCACATTTTCCTAGTCGTACTGTCTCTGGTGCATCAAATGTTGACACAATTTCACCACCTGAAATTAAAAAATAGCATCAAGTATGATTATAATCTCTGAACTGTCCGTTTTTCTCTACTTCAAAAGAGTACTTGACAAACCACGCCACAGTTTCGAAAGAAATCTTAAAACTGAAAGCTTTACCTGTCACCAATGCCAGCCTCTCAATTCCATCAAAATCAGCATGTTCTATCGCCATGATACCAGCATCAGCAAACAGCTGTTCCGGATAATTGTAGATGAGCTGCCTATTGATGAACACATTACATCCATGTTTCAAGATCTTGTTCACTTTATCTTTCATTTTCTCCTTTTCTGCAGACTCCAGTTCTGCTATCTTTGCCATTGAATCCACCTAACAAAAAAAAAATTATAATTATTATCCAGAAAAAAAATATGAAGAAAATGTAGAGAAACATTTGGTTGAAGCAGCAAAAACAAGTACATATTTTGCTAACCTTAATATGTGATCCAAATACTTTGATTTTGTCTGTGTCCATGGGAGTATTAGCTATCAAGATCTTAGCATTTTCTACCCGTTGGGGTTGGTGAACTCCTGGTTTTTTATCCAGCAAAAAACCTTCATCCAAGAATGAGTCTTCCAAAGTACCTCCTGTCTTCTTAATAATTTGGATAGCCTCAAATACAAGAAAAAGCAGTATAAATTTGTCATAATAAATGATTATTATAAAATCTGTTAAATTAATAAAACCCAAGCCATGACTTAGATTCTGCAAAAAAGTGTACCTGTAGATCTCCTGAGCCTTTCAGTCTCAACACAGCATCAACAGCTAACTTGCTGAAATGCTCTTTATGTTGACTCAATATCTTTGAGCTCAATGTTGTCCTGGCAATGTTCATCAGATCTTCACGAAACTTGGCTAAATCAGCACTGTTGTCTTTAGAAATGTTATATAGTGCTGTTTTAGCCACATCTGTTGCTTTTCTCCACCCAGCAATAATTGTCTGAGGATGTATCTTCTGGTCAATTAGACGCTCTGCTTCTTTCAGTAATTCAGATGCTGTAAGTGAAAATGTATGAATTTTAAGCCCTCCACTAGGGAAGAAATATGGCGAATTACAACCAAAGATCTAGGAGGCCTACCCAATACTGTGACTGATGTTGTTCCATCTCCAACCTCATCATCTTGTACCTTTGACATATTAACCAAAATCTTTGCAGCTGGGTTATCTACACCTACAGCTTTAAGAATTGTAGCACCATCATTAGTCACTTCAACACTGCCTGCATTTCTGCCGCTTGACACAAGGATTTTGTCCATTCCTTTTGGGCCCAAAGTGCTTTTTACCAACTCTCCAATAGCTATAGCTCCTACAAAGCTGCTCAATCTAGCTATTTCAGCTTTCTCCTCTTCTGCTTCATGTTTAAGTACTCTGACTGGGTTTAAAGACATCTATGGAAAATGCAAAATAGTAGATTACGCATTTGGTATAATCTTTAAATCGAAGATAGTATGCTATTTATGATTCCGATGCATCTGGGTAGCAGAATTTAATATATTAACACAAAAACTGAGCCATGCACGTGTGCACCGGCACACCTGGCCATAAATCCCTAAAATGTCGAATGAAATACGAACAGGTTTGGATGTTCTAAATATTTTTAAAGAGGACAAGCTAAAAATAACTAATTTACCATTTTTAAGCTCCGTACTTATTGAATAAATCGCAAATTTCTAAAGTTATTAAAAGCAAGAAAAATATCAAATTTTTCAACACTGAGATGGATAATGGATATAGTCAATTGTCAATGTCAGTATGTCACAATTGACACTACAGCACAAAACATCTACAAACCACAATTGATTGTTTATCCGTATGGAACAGCACATACAACAGAAACAGCACGGAAGGAAAAGAACTACAGGTAACAAATACACCTCCGCCATTTTCATTCATGGAACGTGACTACCACTTTGCACATGCTAAGTGCATAGCAGGTACGAGGGTGATCCCAGAAGTACCCGACCCAACAAAGAAAACACAAAAATGTTGTAAGAAAAATGTATTTATTTTTCAACATAATCTCCTTTGAGCTCTATACACTTTTCCCAGTGATGTTCAATAAGTTCGATACCCTTTTAATAATAAGAACTGTCTTGCTCCTTGAAATAGCCATTAATTGCCGACATCACTTCTTCATCGTTGGAAAATCTTTGACCACTGAGCCATTTTTTCAAGTTTGGAAACAGAAAATAATCCGAGCCGGCTAAATCTGGTGACTAGGATGCATGAGGTAGCAACTCACACTTTAATTCGTTAATTTTGGCCATAGTAATAACGGATTTGTGAGCTAGTGCATTGCCTTGATGAAACAACACTTTCTTCTTTACCAAATGCGGCCGTTTTTGTTTGATTTCATCGCTCAAACGTTGCAATAAGTTCGCATAATACTCGCTGTTAATAGTTTTACCTTTTTCAAGATAGTCAATGAAAATTATCCCACGCGCATCCCAAAAAACCGACGCCATAACCTTGCCTGCAGATGAAACGGTCTTCGCCTTCTTTGGAGCCAGTTGTCCCTTTTAAGTCCATTGTTTTGATTGTTCTTTTGTCTCTGGTGTGAAGTGATGGACTCATGTTTCATCCATGGTTATGAAATGACGCAAAAATTCTTTGTGCTGTAAAACTTCGCTAAACACTCAACTGAAACATCGTCACGACACTGTTTTTGCTCGATTGTGAGCAATCGCGGCACCCATCTTGCACACAGCTTTCTCATGTCCAAATTTTCAGATAATATGCGATGAACCACACTTTTTGAAATGCCTACTATGTCTGCTAGCTCGCGCACTTTCAGTCGACAATCATTCAGTACCGCTTTGTGAATTTTCTTCACCATTTCTGGAGTCGTCACCTCATTTGGTCGACCACTGCAATTCTCGTCTCGACAGCTCCTACGGCCTCGTTTAAACTCTTCTACCCAATATTTTACTGTTGTAAACGAAGGAGCAGACTCACCCATAGTAGAATAAAGTTCAGCTTTTATATTGGTTGGGCTGAGGCCTTTGAAATAAAAGTATTGAACCACATAACGATGACCAATTTTCTCCATTTCCGAAAATTCACTGAAAACGTTCAGTATTGATGGCTGCCAAACAAATACTAAACAACGTGGCGTCTTCAAACTTGACATATATGCTTTATAGGTTGCATACTTTCTAATACAATGATATTTTTCAAACAACTATCGCCAACTCTAGGTCAGGCCGGGTACTTCTGGGACCACCCTCGTATATGCACCTAGCATGAAATCACAGCTCGAGGAAAAGGCGTCTACGCTTTGAACGACTGACTCATTTATTCAGATACGTCAAACAACAGGGACGTATCTATAGTTCGTATGTGAGTTCACATATACACTGAAAACGTCAGCCAAATTTGAACTTCAATGTGTATGATGAATTAACTCGCTCAAAAAAGTATTCGGGGAGACTCAGGAATCATGTTCAGGAAAATGCCCGTCTTGGGAGGGGAGTAGGTAGGGTTTGTCTGTTCTAGAACGCCCTTGAGAGTCGACCTTGGGAACCAACCTTGAACGCATATTTAACCTCGAAATGTGACCTTGAAATGTAACCTTGAAACATGGCCTTGAAATATGACCTTGAAATGCAACCTTGAATCGAAATATAGCCTTGAAATGTGACCTTGAATCGAAATATGGCCTTGAAATATAACCTTGAAATGTGACCTTGAAGTCGTGAGTGGTAGAAGGTATCACCTTGAAAATATGTCTTTAAATTAGTGCAGCGCTCGGAGAGGAAGCAGTTGTTAGCAGACAGCACGAATCAAACAATGAGTGCAAGACAAACATTTAAGTTGCCGACGGTGTGGGAGGGGAAGCCGGTGGCGGTTATACGCCCATTCAACAGAATGCATCCTGAAGAAGAAAATTGGGACGACCCATGGCCTAGAACGCATATGGGCACCACACCGCCGCATCAACCATCTGAGTCCAGAACACCTATGAACACCACACCGCAGCATCCTCCATCTGGGTCCCGAACACCCATGGACACCACACCGGTTAGCCGATATGGAGTCAGGAATCCGGCACCGGAAGTGGCAGTGGAAGAGAATTGGGATGATGAAGCAGGTTCTAATTCGGATCAGTTGATTCAGGCGCCCATGCAGAGACGTATACCTCCAGACATGGGTCGTGGTGCGAGACTAAGATGGATTATACAGGAGAGAAGGAGGTTGCGACAGGTGCAGCAGTGAAGGAAGCAGGGTTTCAGAGGGTGGAGGTATTGTTGGCAAACGGAAGCAAGGTTTAAGAGAGTGGAGACAATGTTGGTAGAAGGAAAAAGTAGTTGGGGGGTGACTAAAAAGTGCACCAGCAAAAGTAACATGTGCAATGAAGGTGAACATATAAGTATTATTCCAAAGACCGCATCCTTCAATGAAACAAAAAACAAAGTGTTGTACATATCATGTATGCATGGCAATATGCATATAGAGAAGCTCGAAGAAGTAACGGGGAGATGGCAGATAGATGTATGTTTCAAAGGCGAGTGCAACTAGTCGAAGAAGTGTTAAAAAAATACTTGACAGTAGATTACAGGCAAACAGTGTTTACAGAAAGGTTTAAAGTGTAAATTATTAAATTGGAGGTATGTCTGTGATATGTATAAAAGTAGTAAGAAGTAGGTTTAGTAAAATTTCGAGTATGTAATGTAATGTAAAAATAGAGGGGAAGAAGCAACGCTTTGATGTATTTATAAAATAATAAAGATTGTAAGATAGGAATATTGTGTAGTGTTATGTGGGAGGAAATGGTAAAAAATACATTAAATGAAGAAACATATGTTTATTGACAAAAATTATGACATGATGAAATTTTCATACAAATAAAAAACGTTAGACATCGCACACATGCAAATATCTGTTGTATGGTAAAAACACTTCGCCGGTGAAGGGGTGAGGCGGGGCTGATCTTCAAGCTCGATTATTGGTTTGCTGGTGAAGTTTCTCAGGTAGGCTGCTTTTTCACGTCCTTTCACATAAATTCTGTCTGCCCCATCCGCAATATGTTTAATAATGTTTCCAAACTTATGTAGGGGTGTAAACCCTGAATTCCAGGAGATACCATGGTAATTATCAGTCAACCACTTCGCCTGAATCTTCAACGGTGGTGGCAGCAGATCCCAAGGAAAAGGAGCTTTGAAAATATAATGACATAACCTAACACCATCATAGGCGCAAAATTCTTTTGCGAGAAATTTATTATTTTCAATTTTAAATCCTTGAACATCCAAAACGACACTCATATTTGTAAGTTGGAGAATTTTGTATATAGAATGCGTCTTTGACAATAGGAATTGAGTGCTTCTTTCAAACTTTGCAATTTCTGATAATACTCTCTGAGAGCTTGTCTGTAGGGTGATGTCATAATGAGAATGAAGGAGCTTTAGTCTGAACAAAGATATTTATATTGTGATTGGTCATGATTGATTAAGCTCTATCGCTGTTTAACAATTTTGGTTAAAGGGTTGTAGGTGAAAACGCGATCGTGTAGGATGAGACAGTAAGCAGATGTTTACGGAGGAACATTTTCACTTGTCTCAAATTCAATTCGCATAACCACCGATCCAGATTGGATACTTTCCTTCTGTTTAGAGCAATCAATATGTGTGATAGGGGCAATAGAAAGGAAATCTTTTGGGGTAAACAGAGGTTCATTTTCACTCTCATAATAGGAGGAGCGGAATTTTGAGTACATTCCATACAAGAGAGCAAATTTTTGGTTTTTAAAATCCAAAAAGAGATCATTATATGGGAAGCGGTCGGAGTTGAGGAAAACCCGAATATTGGTCAACTTGCAATGATCAAATTGTGACATATTGGAGGTAGATACTTGTTTTTTATTAGTTTGAAAGTCTAGGATAACATGTCTAGGGGTCTCGAGCTTCGTTGTAGTTTTGACTGGCCAGGTGTGACGCGTTGTTTCAGGGAGTGATGGATACTCTACTAGTTCCCAACTGCGAAAATATAGTGGAATTTCCATGTTTTTGTTGAGAATTTTTGTAAGAGCTAGTTGCTGAGGAATGTCAACAGATACGTGGGGTACTCTCCACTGAATCTTATCAATCCGAATTTTTGGTTGTTCGGATGTAGTAGTTGCTACAACAGCATCAAGGTCATGACTACTACGGATTAATACTAACTCCTGTTTCATATTGAGGAGAATTTTTCGATAGTCTTCAAAGAATCCCATCCACATGCTTAAAGGAATACAAACATTGAACTTGCCAGACTCAGAAATAAAAGTGTCTTTTGGGAACCAGCCAGCATTTTGCAAGCGTGAACTCTCATTTTCATTAAAAGACAGATACCCTTTAAGGGTGGAGGTAAGACCAACATTTCGAACGGAATCGACTACAACTCCGTTCAGTTGATAACGGAGCTCACGGAACAAAAGCAAAAGCGTTATTGATTAATTGCAGAGTTGTAACAGTAGTTCCATCAGCGTTTTTAGTCGTAACAGCAGTTCCATCGGCTTTGGTTAATTTTCCTTCGAGATACAAAAGACTTTGTGACGGGAGGGTATAGGCATCTAGTTCTTGAACAGCAATGCGAATTTCATCGTTGTAGTCAAAGTTGGAATTGATAAAAGGTTGATAAGTGTGATACTCTAGTTCTGTAATAGAATTATCAACAAGAGGTTTTTGTGTAACGTTGAGAATACTCATCCTACAACACGTGAAAACCTAGATTTTCCAAAAATTTTCTATTATCGTTAGTAAGTTGCAATGTTGATTGTTGTCGAAATGATCTTCTGCGTATGCGGGACGGTTTACCACTAATAGATGGTTTCGACTGACCTCGGTTTTTATAGGGAAAAGAGATCGGAGGCGCGTAATATCTAATGCCCATTGTTACCGGATCGTAAATGAAGTCGAAGTGTAATGGTCTCGTTACGAAAATTAATTATGTGACCGTCTTGATCAACAATGTTGACGGTAATGGTTGTGATTGCTTTAACACTCACTGGGAAATATAAAATATTTTGAGGTGATTCAACGATTTTATACCCGGGCGAAACAGAGGGAAAAAATTGATGGATAATGTGGCTTGGCACACCGTTGGAATATGAGCCTGTGGCTACATTGCAAGCAACACATATTGAATTCACTTTCAAAATTTGCACAGGAAAATCAGACGTATGTCTAATGATTGGGTCAGACGTCGAGGTTGAAATCCGAGAAGGGATGCAATGGTACCATTCTGTGAAAAATCAATCGTAAAATTGGCTTTGAGAGAAACTGTTGTGGAATTCATATGAGGTGTAATGCTAATAATTTTCCCTTCTGGGAGATTTTGATCTAAATAATCAATAATATCTCGAATTTCATAGGCGCCTGTAGGAAATGTAAGTAGTTCATTGTCACATGGATACTTATTATTAGTTTCGTCTATATTGGGAATAACATTGAAGGATTCAAAGTTGCACAACCCGATTTCATAGTCCACATTATCATCAAGATATAGCGGGGGATTAAAATGTGATTGGAGAGTGGAAGAAGTTCCCGACTGCGTAAATGTGAGGGACGTCATTACTGTAGAACGTTTGAATTGCAACTTCTGTATTAGGAGTAACAGTAAGAAATATATAGAAATTGTAAGCATAGCTGTCCACAATTGTGAGCATTAAACTTTTGTATTGGAGTATAATTGTATACAATGCGAACATTTTTATCACTGCTACCAAAATATCTTATCAGCTGCAGTGGAGGGCGCAGATTCCCATATGAATCAAAGTATGAGACAAGATTGCCATTTTTCACGTATGCAACCCAATGAGTCCCGTCGCCAGACGAGCCATCCAAATTAACAATTCCACTTTCACAAGTCTGTATACTCTTTGGTAATTGATCTTTCATGAATACTCCTCGAAAAAAGGAATGTTAAGTTGTTTTGCAAAGTAAAGTAGTTCAATATCGGAAAGCGCATGGGATGGTAGGTGCCTTAGCATTTTTTTTTTGTACGGTGCTAAAAAAAACCCTTTCCCGTTGGAGAAACCTTGCGAGAGGCTTCTAAAGCCAAGTTATGACGCTTCTGTTCCGCAAGTTGTGACTGATTGGCTTTAGCATCATTGACAGCTTTTGCAATGGAGGCAGCACCACCTCCAAGAGCTCCAAGAGCCGCGAGTATAGGTAGAAGTAAAGGTAGAAAGCCACCTGTTTTCGGTAGAGGCAGAATCCGCAAACGTCGCTTGGAACGTTACGATTTTGGTGATTTTTTTCGCAAACCCTTTCCCATCTTGTTCAAACGTTTCTTTCTTTGTTGTGTACGATGTTTTCGCAGGCCAAAACCCATCTTTTTTTAGCTTTCATTGCTCCAGCAACTCCCAAAGCTGCCATTCGTTCTCCAAAAGAGCTGTCGGATTCGAAGGCTCGCTGTATAGCTTGATCAGCCAAAAGTTTGTCCGCTTGTTGACGCGCAGTGAGATCTTTCTGCTGAGAATAGAAAATGTGTTGTTTGCAAAATTCGTCAAGTGGATTTATACCAACATCTCCTCGTTGAAGACGCTTTTGCAGTTTGGTTGACGGGCCACAGAAATTGTAACCTGGGATGTGGGCTTCGAAAGGGAGATTTTCTATTACGTTGGAAATGAGGCCGCGACCTCGCACGATCGGTGTCTGCTGGAAAGTACGTGTCATGGTGGAGTGCACAATCATTATATACTCTTATTACGAATAGAGCGGGAGGTACTATATATAGGAGTCCATTTGGATGGCTACTAGTAATCACACAACATCATGAGAATTGAGCAGACGATACCAAAGCTTCAGGTAGATAATTACGATGCAATAGTGCAAGAAAAAACTTTCCGAAAACATGGAAGTGTGTTCAATGGTGCTTCTAAACGGGCTCTAATTGTTGGTAATAGTCGTGCTGGAAAGACTAATATCATGATCACCCTATTAATACACCCTCACGGATTACGATATGAAAATGTCTATTTGTTTTGTAAATCACCCTACCAAACAAAGTATCAATTTCTTCGCTCAGTTTTAGAACCTCTAAAAGAGATAGGATATTACGAGTACACGAACGGTGATGATATTAAGCCTCCAGCGGAAATCGAATCAAATGCGATTATGATTTTTGATGATGTTGCATCATGTAATCAGGATATAATGCGTCAGTACTTTAGTTTTGGGCGACACAAAAATACAGATTGCTTCTACCTGTGTCAAACATACACAGCAATTCCCAAGCAGTTATTAAGAGATAATGCAAATCTTCTCATACTTTTAGCACAGGATGCATTAAATTTGAAGCATATTTACGATGATCACATTAGCTTGGATATGTCGTTTCAACAGTTTAAAGATCTTTGCTCACTGTGCTGGCAGGAACCATACGGTTTTGTTGTGGTTGATAAAGATTCACCCAAAAATAATGGGAGGTATCGGAAAGGTTTCGACAAGTATATATACCTATAGTGTGGTATATAAAGAGCGTGTAAGATTAGCAGTACCAGTGTTACGCCAGCCTCTCCATAATACGTGATATGGATCCAAAAATTGCAAAGGAATTGGTGAAAGCCAGACAAGCAGTCAAAGAAAAGTATCGAGCATTAAAGTCGGATATTGCCCAAACGGAAACCCAATTGCAAAAGCAGTGGAAACCTATATCGGAACCGCTGCAGCAGTTACTTGAAAAAGTAGAGCCAGTCAAAGTAAAACCAGAGAACTGGAAATTCGAATCTAAAACATCAACACCTCAGAAATCACCACTTTCACAGAAATTAACACCGACAAATATATACAATAGATACCTCCCCACTACTACAAGTTTTCTTGAAGACACATTCTCTAACCTTCCCGAGCACTCTATTTTACAAGACGTTTCCGGGATAGAAGAATCAGGTCCCGATGCTACAGTACTAGAACGAGAACGTGATGTTGACGAGCAAATGATTGCTCACACACGGGAAGAGTTTCGGCGCCTAAGCAAAACACCTGGTTATCAAAGTTATTTAGAACAGTTCCATCCATTACCTCGTCAATATATCGATGAGTCTATACGGGGGGATGAAGAGAATTTTGATCGATATCACGGTATAACACACGATTGGATCGGCGAAAAATTAAAATTGGGGAATACCCCAATAACCCTCGAGGAGTCGGATCTAATCTTAGACAATATCAGATATCCAGGAACGCCAGGTCTGTACGAGTTGTTGTTCAAGAAAGACCCTCGTGGATATAAACAGACCGATCTGGAGCACTACATGGATATGCTAAAACGGACCAATGCATATCGACGTAATTTTGATTCTAATTTACAAATTCAAGGAGTAAACACTTTCAAGTATAAAACAATAATTCGACCATATTTAGTAAAACACAATCTAATAAAAGTATCCGCTGAGGGTGCAAGCAAAACGGGGTCTTTTCAGAAACCGGCACCTCCTAAAGCTCGACCCAGATCACAATCATTCAAACATGTAAGGGGTGGTATATTAGAGTATTCCCCGAAACCAATTGAGTATGTGTATTTTGATGATCCCAAAGAGTTGGTCAATCGATTGCGCTTGCTCATCGCATCTGCGTATGCTGGTAATAACGGGCATAATAATGAAATCATGTCTATAATTGAGGAGTTGCGCGAATTAAAAATTATAAAATGAAGTTGTAACGTAATATTACTCTATTTTCGTTGCTGCAGTTGTACGATCAAGATGCCAATTGATAAATTTGGAAGACATATGCTCCATTCAAAAAAGAGGGACATATCTTCAATCTTCAGTGCTTTTCTAGCATCTAAACTATTCAGCGTATGTGTGGTACCCATTTATTCCAACACATTCAGCGCATTATTTTACACATTTGGTGAAAATAGTAGGGACTATATCGTTCCTGTGACCGGGATAGTTGATAGTATAAATATACCTCCCAAAATAAGAGTGAAATGTGGTCAAGTCGACACACACCTGTCGAAAGGGGATATTCTGAACTTCTATTCATCTCATGAACCAAAACCTGACCTTATAGGTAATATCGTGATGCGCTGTCCAATCATACAAGAATGATGGACTTTAAATAGCAGGTCATTGAGGAACTTCATAAACCGGCTCGCAGAAATTATAGACGTCGACGCGTTATTGTGAAGGGTATCAACGATCTCCTACAGGCAGATTTGGTGGAAATTCTTCCGTATCAGAAAGTTAACAAAGGATTCCGTTACATTTTAATTGTCATCAACGTTTTTAGTAAATTTGTGTGGGCAGAACCAGTCAAACGAAAAACTGGAAAAGATGTGACAGCTGCAATGAGTACAATTTTATCGCAAATGCAGACAATTCCGAAAAATTTACAAACAGACCTGGGTAAAGAATTCTACAATAGTGACTTTAAGAAGTTAATGGAAGCGTACAAAATTAATCATTACAGCTCCTACTCAGCGACCAAAGCAAGTGTAGTTGAAAGGGTGAATCGCACTTTGAAGAATCGTATGTGGACGCAGTTCAGCTTTCAGGGATCGTATAAATGGTTAGATCAATCGTTGATGCATATAATAACACCAAACACAGCACAATTGGGATGAAACCCAAAGACGTGAACAAAAGTACAGCAAAAACACTGTTGAGAACGGCATACACACATTTGAAAACGTTAGATCCAAAGGGTGTAAAATATCAACGTGGAGATCATGTCCGCATAAGCAAACATAGGACAGCATTTGCTAAAGGATACACTCCTAACTGGTCCAATGAAATTTTCACAATCCGTAAAATACAGTATACCAATCCCACATCATACTTACTGGCTGATTCGAGCGGTGACGAGATTCTATGTGGATTTTACGCTGATAACAGACATAATTCGTGGATTAGATTAGATTAGAAAAAGTGATTTACTTGCATGACATGTATATTATTTAAACCAATCAGTTTTATAACACAGCTTTTTCAATAAAACACGATAAGTAATTTAAAATTCTTTTTAATTACAATGACTTTACAGAATAGTTAGGATAGTCTGAATAAAATTTCAGCGTTGGAGCCTTGTTGAATTCCTTCAAGTTTGGATGTTGGTATGCCAGTTCCATAGCAGTCCTGATGTTCTCCGAATGCGGCAAATCAGAGATGTGTTGGATGACGAAGTCTCGCACATCCATGTTGGTGGTTCGCACATCTTGGACAAGTGTGTTGAAATACTTATTAAACTCCTGAGTTTTCAGCATATTAATGGTGTAGGCAATCAGCGGGGCTAATTGAAATAGCTTCAATACGATCTCCTTACCCAAATAAACGACGTTTCTCCATCGATCTTCAATTTTGATTGTTTGAAAATCTGGAAATCTCTCAAAGGTGATACAGACGGAGTTGGCACTGATCGAATGGAAAATATCATCACTGAAGAAAAAATTGGTTATAACGCCTTCTTGATTTAATATCTCATACCAGTCAATTTAACGTAACGCCATTGTTTTTCAAACCACTGATATTGATTACAGGGTGGAAGCTCCACTGATATGCTCGACCAATGCTTATCCATTTTGATTTCGATGGATTTAGATGATATCGTTGCTCCTGGATGACAATTAACGATGTCTGATCTACCCCACTTTGTACAGATCGTACCCCCTTGTCGTTTTGCACACCGGCACTCATGTTGTAACGTTATGTGAAATTCAGAAGACTGGTATATGAAGCTTCGTGGCTAACTTTATACAGTGTTGATCACCCCTCCATTCACCAACTTCCCCCTCCCAAAAGTTGACGCAAGTGCAAGGGAAAATGATACTACCGTTCATGCTGACATAGATATATATATATATATATATATATATATATATTAATGAATTTTGTCACACACAGAGTATTTACGTTTTGGATAAATCACACAAGGTCTTTAAACATGCTACATAATCTTCGAATTTGGTGGATGGCCATTTCACACTACAGGGTCCAGAGGTCCATCCGAGGGTTTCATCTCCAATGTTACCCTTGGCTATATTTTTCTTTATCCATTTCAATACAGTATAATGTCTCATCTTATTTTCTACATCAAATACAAATTTAATATCATGCTGCTGAATACTATCGATTAAACGTTCTAGTGATACACAATCAGCTAGATATGCGATTTTACAGATGCTTTCATCGATATGTGATACAATGTCTTTATACCTCTTTGTAATATTTTCTACAGGATGCGGTTTATCTACATCTTCATAGTTACTATCAGATAACAACTTACATAAATAATATTGTTCATATGCTGATGGAGTGTAGGGCATATTTTCCAGTAGGTCTCCAAATTCTTTGATGCTTAAAACCTCATAATCTCTCTCTTTTAAACTTTGCAGTGTTTCCTGTACCACCCAATCTAGATGTTTCTTTTTTGTTATTACACTGGAAAGCACGTGGGGATGGCAACTGTGGGCATTGGTAATCCAAATGAATACTTCGTCAGGTATTGTAATTTCCTCTAGCATAAAGTCCAGCACTGGAAATTCTCGTTTTTCTGGATTTCGAGTCACAAATTGTCGAAGCTGGTTTTTCAACACCTCTTCAGTTACATGACACAATTGCATGAACAGTGAATAGTATGTCGTAGTACTCATCTTTGAAACTGAATGAGGTGCGTTTGTTAAGAATATATTTATATTCTTGTCCCCACCACAAACCCCTATTCTATGATCATGCTGATGCTTATTATTCAACACAATGGCTTCTTGCATCAAGTGCAGTAATGTATCCAAGCGCTCCTCATCCGACATGTTATGAAATAATATATCTTGATGACCCCAAGCTAATGTCTTTGTTGAGTTTGGTATCAAGAAACGTTTATCATCCGTACTGGTCAATGCTACTTTTTTTATATAATTTGTGTAGATATTGTGCGACTCCGATTTAAATACATAAATCGTACAGTATACAGATGTCCGTTTCTCCTCAACAATATCCTTATAATGTAGCAAATGTAACTGATTTTTTACACTCGCCTTAGATATACCTTTGGCTCGTTTAGCTACTTGGTCTACCGCATCTATACAGTATGCTTTGGGACCTGTACCATAAAATGCAGACAGTATCTTACCAGCATATTCGTCTTTCATCTTACCCAACTCTGACGCTGTTTGAGGCATATTATGTGGGTTGGAAGCATCATAATTGGATGTGTCAAAGTAATGTATGTGTGATTTCATGTCGTCATAGAAATTATCGGTTTCAACATGTACTATTAGCGAATCAGTGTCCGTGTAAGCTACAGACACCTTATCACCATATTGACGCTTCAGAAAGTCATAGAAAAAGTCATATATTACCGTTTTTGAGACATCTAAAATACAAAAGCCAACATATGTGGGACGACAATAATCAATCATTGTTTTTTCCATTTGAATGGCTACTAAGTTTTCAGAAAATATTCTGTGCTCTTTACAAGTTGGTTTACTAATATAATTTGCAGCACCTATTTTATGTTTAGATTTTTCAAATTGAGTAGCTAATTTGATGTCGACTCTGTTCTCCATGTTTTCAATGGTTTTTCCAAAAATACAATTGATCATTAGTTTGAACAAATCTCTTTCAAAAGGATTCAGTGCTGCATTTCTAAGTGTGGTGTTTAACTGTATGTAGGACTTCAACCAGGCAGATTGTGTGAATTTAATGCCTCTTTGAATTTTTGTTAAAATAATACCATGTTTCACAAACATTGCTTTAGATTACGATAATGGATAATGTAGCGTTCTTTGTTGTGCAAATTTGGAATTAATTTTGAGCTTTGACTGTCGGGTGGTTTAAAATTTTCTGGACAAAATGGTAAATCGTTGAAATAATCATGTAGCTCAGTCGGTATGGTTAAATCGACTTCTAATGCATACCCAATATCCGATGTATCCGAAATCTGTGTAATTGTCTCTTGAATCCTATCCATCTCATCTCGTGTTAACCATGCAAAATTACCAGTTGGTAGGTACTGTTGCATCGTATAACCGTACAAATTTGTTGCATCAAGGTAAACTAAATACGATGATGCCTTTGACGGATCGTAATGTGGTAGAAATTTATTGTTCGCCTCAACTTTACGTGAGGTACATGTACTGACTCCCCCCGAATTCCCTTTTTAAAAAATGAATCATATCAACATCTGTAAGCAGCTGTAACTCTACTTTGCTGTATCGTAGCATCGCATCCCAACTCAAACCGGGGGCTGTAAAATAGTGAGCTGGATCAAGCTTGTACGTTTTTAAGCACAAATCTCTGAAATTTTCAAAGATATCTGTTAAAAGAAGAACATCCGAAGTCAAGTAAAAATCAGAGTATTCCCCCAAATTTTGACACCCCATTACTTCCCAGACATGACGTGCTCGCTCCTAATCCTCGTCAGAAATGTGTTCATCACGTATTTCATCATAAAATTCTTGTTGGGATGATAAACATGTCTCATCGTATTTATCAAACCTATTAAGATATGTATATGGAAATATACCTTTGCATCTCATGTAGGAGAACTTTTCGTCCTCAGGAAAGACTTTTCGTACCGTCCGACATTGTTCTGCGCTTAAAAAGGATGCCAAGGTTTCTAATTTTGACGGTAGAAACTGATATGAATCGACAAATCACATCTGCAAAAATACAGTTTGTGATTTTCCCTCGTGGGAAATGTACGTGTCTACAGGTATCAATTTCGTAAATGAAACATATTTTTCAAAAGATTGTGGAATCACTTTAATTTGTTCTTGCTTCATAGCGAGGTGTTTTATGAATAGGTGTGCATCATAGTTTTTGAGGTTGTGGAAAAATATTGGAATGTATTTTGGGATCTTATAGTTTAGATTGCATTTACTATGTGCTGCGCCACGATATTGCCCGGTGGAATGACAGTGATCCCTAACTTTTCTATTTGTATTGGTAAATGGATGTTCACAAATGAAACATACCTCTGCTTTATCAAACACATTTTTATCGTGCGCCGTCATTTTCATCGCTACATTTTGTTTTAAATATTGATCATATATTAATTTAAGATCAGCCTCTAAGCGCGTAACAAAAATTTGTGCAGCATCCTCACCCCTATACAGTTAGAGCTTGGATAGTGAATCATTATAAGAACATTTAATATAATAAGCAAATGAGGAGGGTCTATGTTCATACTTTTTGATGGTACATACATCCTCTGAAGCACTTGAGTGATTGTCTATCGGAGCTAGGATGCATTCAAAGTCCGCATAAACGCAAAACGGTAGTCTTAATTGTTTGTGATGCTGTTCAAATTTCAGCACATTATCCATTACCGTGTTTCCAAGGCGATCAACTCTGGTTTCCAGTTGGGGCAGCTTAACTGCAATGTGTTTGCAATAGTTTTGGATGTGAATTTCCAGTTTGTCTTTTGATGCAAAGTATTGTAAACAGCCATCACAAAAATGCTTTACTCTCGTATTAAGTGACAACTGACTTGAAACGAGTCTTGAAAAGTTGGTAATTAAGCAGTAATGATGGTTACCTTCTGAATCATCAATAAGTAATAAGTTCAGATGAGTGGGTTGTTTTTGCGCCGTGTAATGTAACGGTCCTACCACCTGATATTAAGGCAAGGCGCGCACTGAGATGGTGAGCAAGTGACGTGGTAGTGGCGCGGTGATCAAGTGGCAGGTGGAATCGCTAAAGCCTATATAAACAAATGAAGACGGGCGTATCAAAATGGAGTAGCGGTGGCGTGGCATTTTGTAGGTGGCGTGATGTCAGTCTGGTGCCACTAATCTCGAGCAAGTTTAATTTTCGACTGGCAAGCGGTTGGTGACGACGACGCGACGTGGGTTTTTGTTTACTTTTTCCTGGAGTGAATCATGCGAGACGACCACGAATTGAACATTAATTTTGTAGCCCTTGTAG